CATCAACTTAGCGAAGGCAAGTTGTTGCCAAAGTGGTCCCGAGTGTCACCTAGTTGTTCTGAGGTGCCAGGTGTCATAATGTCATTGGAGGGCCAAATCCGCCCTCATCAGCTCCAATGACTTTTGGACATTTTTTAACCAAAATATTCTTTTTCTTAATTTAGTCCCTTTCTATTTTGAGGATAGAAATTATAATTTAAATATAATTATTAAGTGTATTCCCCTTGCCATGAAACCTATTTTTATGGTACTAACTACCATTCTGTCTCATTGAATCCTATATTTATGTTAGATTTGTTTCTCATCATTAAATTCCACTAATTAAATCAATGGGTAATAGTTTTAATGATATAAAAACATATATTTTAAAATAGACCAGCAAATAAAACTTTTTTTTTTCAAGTTGTGGGTAAGTAGTTCAACCAATTAAGTCAAAACAAGTCAAGCCATTATGTCATAATTAAACACTAAAACTTTTAAAATATATAAAACTATAAAAATTGACAATTAAAAAAATTTGGCACATCATGACATCACCAATAGTATAATTGTCATATTAAACAAAAAATAATTATGAAAAATAAGAAATTTTTTATTAATGATGAAAATATAATACAAAATTTAAAGCCGACACAAAAATAAGACCATTTTTGTATTTATGCAGCAGGTCAACGGTTCAACCATTTGGGTCAAATGGATCAAGTGTCATAGTTAAATAATAAAATTTTTAAAAATAGAGAATACAAAGAATTATGAAAACACAGAAAAGAAAAGAAAAAATTAGATGCATCTCTAATATTATATATAAATCAAATTAAACAAAAATAAGTGTGATAACTGATAAATGATAATTATTCTATTAGTGATGTAAATGAAATACAAATTTTAAAACAATCTAATAGTAAAACCATTTTTCCGCTTAGATGGTGAGTCAACAGTTCATCGTTTTAAGCCAAATAGGTTAATCATGATGTCATAATTAAATAATAAAAACTAATAGATAAAAATATATATCTAATTAATGTTATGTATTTGTCATATTAACAATATTATAAATGTAATAAATAAAAATTTATTTTTCTGAATGAAGGAAACAAGGTGAAATAGTTCAATGGTTCAATGGTTTTTACCAACAAGTAAAAAAAGAGAATTAGTGTCTAATTTGTGATCCCACTAACAAGGTTGAATAGTTCAATGGTTCAAATAGTTAAATTAATATATTGTTGATCGAGCAAATGGTTTTTACAAACAAGTAATTTGATGATAAATGGACCCAAAGTACTGAACTGATGATGGGTCAACCATTTGATCATGAGATAAAAAAAATACTGATAAAAATACCAATGTTTTAGAAATCGGACAAAACCACATTTCCCTCTTAGTCAAACAAGTAAACTTTTGATGTCATAAATTAAATAATAAAAATATAGAAAACATTATCAAATTTATAGAAAAATAAGTATGTCTTTAATATTATATATTCATCAAACATAAAAGTTTGAAAAATGAGAATTATTGCAATTAATGGAAATAGCTAAAATATAAAAGAAAAAAGAAAACAAATGTCTCATCTATAAGCTATTGGCCTGGTCAAATAGGTCATTGTCTTGACCAATATACACCATGCTTCAATTACTTACTTTTTTATTATTACTACTATTTTTTTTTGTTATTGTGTTATTTTATTGATAAACTACCATATGCAACACACATGCACATTTACTAGTCTTACAAATGTATCATGCACCACACATCCACAAACATTGTATGCATTCAAATTTGTCCTTGAAATGAGTTCAAATCAGCCCCCACAATGTCCCACAGCACATCTCTACCTTGTATTAGGAACATCTTCCAATGATGACATCATCATTTTTTATATTATCATTGGGAGATATTATCATTGTGGGGGGCTGATTTGATCTCCCTTCAAATGTGAGTATAGGTTGTTCCACACAGAATATTATTCCATATGTGTGGCATAAGATTGATTTGTAAGGAGAACCAATTAGCATTTTTCTTGAACAAAATTGAAACCAACCCTACCTTCAGTCGGACTGAATCTGTCCTTCACTATTGTCATGTCCGATCCAAAATCTGCATCCAATCTAATTATTGAATCCTCAAATAAAAATCTGATCCAAAATCTAAAATATCACATATATTCAGGTAAGATTCAGATCCAAAATCGCTTTATTGTCATAAAAATAAAAAATAAAAAATTCTAAAAATTAAACTATTGGGTGGATGGGTTATTACCCCTGGTTGTGTAGCCCATGAAGCCAAAAATAAAAAATAAATTATAAACTTTACATAATTGTGCATAATATTTATGTAAATACATCATTTTATTACATGATAAGCAATCAACACTAGGAAGGATAAAAAAAATAGAGAAAGTTATATATGCAAGAGAAATCTCCCCTTCATCACTTTTTATGAATTTCCTTTCACAAAAGTATAGTTCTCTTACAATTTGTCACTCTCTAAATTCCTTTTCAAATTTCAACTTTGTTGCTCTATCTCCAATTATGCCACCTCCAAATAAAGAAACAGGTCCCATTTATTTCCTTTTCTCCTACAAATCCCCTCTTCAAATGGGTTCGGATCTGCTAGTTACCCACTAGCGGGATGTTGGATCCCCAATAGGAATCCACCTTGGAGTGTGTAAATACAGACCACACGTCATAATCACACGGCAGTCTCAGGCTTTTGGGGGTCCATTCGTAAAACCCAACCCAAATCGGCCAAGTGCATACAACCCTAATAAGACTCATGTATAAATATTAAATACAGTTTTTATCATCCTAAAGCTCTTACTTTATTTTATTGTTTGTGAACCTATTACCTTTCATTCCACCTTGACAGTAATTTGTCCCTTCAAAAAATATAAACTAGGAGTATTTTTGTCCAAAAGTATAAAAAATATATATCTCAAATTATAAAAGGGTAAAATGCAGTTGGGAGAAATTGGAAATTAAATATCATGTGAGCACTTTCCATCACTTAAATTGACTAGAAATTAATGGAAGGGTGGAATCAATGTTCAAATTATCGATATGTATTGGGTCATATTAATTGATACGTATCGTACGGGGGTTTTCCGATATGGGGTGTTTCGGGCCCCGATCAGTTCAGAGGATGAATGAACCTTAAACTGGCCCTTCTAAATCAGATTAAAGAAAAACTAAAAAAAAGGCTACCGATGCGCCACTCCTCAAGCATATCAATATTTTAAACTTTGGGTGGAATAAATAACTCAACCTCAAACAAACAACATATTGAATAAAGTACTTGGGGGGTTGAGTAAGTCAACAGGTGAACGAGGTGTTGATATCTAACCAAAACCTAAATAGAAATTCATTAAGAAAGCAAATAGATAATATTCAAAGGACTTGGAAACAAAATATTGAAAATAAATACATGAATACAAAAAGGAAAAAAATTCTTATTTCTTCCAATCCTTTTATCTCAGGGTTGGCTATCTATGTTTATTAACATTGATCAATCACCAACTTTCAATATCCACAGGCAATTCTTTACTGCACTGGGCCCGAGCTTTTTAGATCGAATCCGAATCGCCAATTAATAAATACGTTCCAACACCCTACCAACATCATTCGACACTGTACATCTATGCATGACAAGTTCCATTTTTGTGGTGAGTCCCAATTTCATAGTGACATGTGTGGTGTCTAAGGTATTGGAACGCGTTTTATTGGCAAGACATCCCAACTCTATTGGGTTGGGCCCTTTCAAAACCTAATAAATGTTCAAAGTCCGAAGCTGGACTGCCTTTTGATTAAGTTGATAGACGTTTGCTTTTTAGTGGATTTAGGGTTTGACTGAACCAATCCTATCTATGAACGATGGATTGAACACATTGTTCAACATTTATTTTATATGCAATTGCCCAACTCAAAAGAATTCAACTACATGAGCCACAATAGTTATCATCAATATAACTATATGAAGAACAAATTCAACAACTTGGGTAAAACAGGTCTTCGGGTCTTGATTTGGGGCTGGTCTTGCCCCGTCACCTCGCAAACCGGCTTTGTAAGGTAGGCTCCACTCAGATAGCTTATAAGCAATGTTTGGGAACAAACCTGTAAAGCCTAAATATGCTTTGCTTCGGCTAAGAAGATGGCTCTCTGATGTAGCTTCTTTTAATAGCTTATCATAGCAGTTTAATGAAAGCAGCCCAATCAAAAAAACAAAAAAAAATCAAGTCTCAGTTTGGAAAGTGTACAAATACGATTATATATATAAATACATACAAAATGAAACAAAATATATGGTTTTGCACTGTACATGTATTTGACTTCCTTCCAAACGGAGCCCAAAGTTTCACCCTTCTGAAATGGGCCTCATGAGCTCAGATCTACTGAACACAAAACCCTAGCCACATCCTGTGCACAAATACCAAAGTCCCAAACCGAGAACATCTCCCATGAATGACAACAAATAGCACAAGAGGAGACGTTCCAAATTTGCACCTGTAGGGTGTTCTGCTCTACAATTTTGTAGTCAGCAGATGTGGACTTAGGCCTCATTGTCCATTTCGGAGGCTTTCACATAAAAAAGGGCTTTCTCTGCAATGGTTTGTCTTCCTTCTTCAAATAAACAATAAATTTTATGGAATAGAGTTTTTGACGTTGACGGTGTTTTACTAGTGACAATAATGATATTTCCATTTTGTTTTCTGTATATTAAATTTGTTTGAAGGAATGTTGAGGTCAAAAGACTCAAAACTATTATTTTCCACTCCCATCTATGGAATGCTAAATTATCTTATAGGGGGTATTTTAGTAAAACGCAAACTATACTCATAGACTTTTCAGGATGTGGACTTTGGCAAGGCAATTTTTTTTCAGTCCTTTTCCCGGGCCAAAGTATAAAGCCCGTTTATTTAATGGGCTGGTGTTGGGCTTTCAATGGTACTTAGTTATACCCATTGCCAAATTGCCATCCGGCCCATTCCCACTCGCAGCGCTCGTTTCATACTTTCTTCATTCACTCTAGGAGTCCATCTAGGGTTTATGAGTTGCTTGTTCCTCGTTTCACTCTCCTCTTTCTTTCTCATCTCTGCGAATCATCCACGCCCACTCTACTGATCACAAACCAAACAAAGCTAATCTCTTCTTCTTCTTCTTCCCACAATGGTAGGTTTCGAGGTGGGAGCAGTTCCCTTCAATCCGGACGGATGGGGACCGCCGGACACACCCGCTCCGCTCCTCTCTAATCACCCCAGTAACGTCCCCTTCGCTCCCTTCTCACGTTCGGAGAAACTCGGTCGCATCGCTGACTGGACACGCAACTACAACCCATCTCGCAACAACCCCCGGAACCCCTCAGATGCTGTTTTCGATTTTGCCCTGGACGAATCTTCCGCTGCCCTTGCCGCCGATGATGATTCTACTTTCCGCCTCGTCGACGGCAAGCCCCCTCCGCGCCCCAGATTCGGCCCTAGGTGGCGTTTCCAACAGCAACGCCAGCTGCCTCAACGCCGTGACGAAGAAGTCGAAGCCCGCAAGCGCGAAGCTGAGAAAGAACGTGCCCGCCGCGACCGCCTCTACAATCTCAACCGCTCTGGCTCTAATGTTCCCCGTCGTGAAGCTGCTGTCTTCAAGTCATCCGTCGATATTCAGCCGGAATGGACCATGCTTGATCAAATCCCGTTCTCTACATTCTCAAAACTGTCTTTCTCAGTTCCGGACCCTGATGACCTCCTTGTTTGCGGTGCTCTCGAATTCTATGACCGATCCTATGACCGTGTTAATCCTAAGAACGAGAAACGTCTGGAGCGCTTCAAAAACCGCAACTTCTTTAAGGTTACTACCACCGACGATCCCATCATCCGCCGCCTTGCCAACGAGGATAAAGCAACTGTCTTTGCTACTGATTCGATTCTTTCGACTCTGATGTGTGCCCCCAGATCGGTTTACTCCTGGGATATTGTCATTCAGCGAGTTGGGAATAAGTTGTTTTTCGATAAGAGAGATGGTTCGCAGCTTGATCTGCTTTCTGTTAATGAGACATCGCAGGAGCCACTGCCGGAGGCCAAGGAAGATATTAATTCTGCATATTCTTTGAGTGTCGAGGCTGCTTATATTAACCAGAATTTCTCACAGCAGGTTTTGGTTAGGGATGGGAATAAGGTGACCTTTGAAGAGCCAAATCCATTTGCTGCTGAAGGGGAAGAAGTTGCTTCTGTTGCTTATCGCTACAGGCGGTGGAAGCTTGACGATGACATGTATCTTGTTGCACGGTGTGAGGCCCAGAGTGTCTCAGATGTGAAAGGGCAGAGGTCTTTCTTGACTTTGAATGCGCTCAATGAGTTTGATCCCAAGTATTCGGGAGTTGACTGGAGGCAGAAGTTGGAGACACAGAGAGGAGCTGTGCTGGCTACTGAACTGAAAAACAATGCAAACAAACTTGCTAAGTGGACTGCTCAGGCATTGCTGGCAAGTGCTGACGTAATGAAGTTGGGATACGTTTCAAGAGTTCATCCCCGGGATCATTTTAATCATGTCATCTTATCTGTGGTTGGCTATAAACCAAGGGAATTTGCGACACAGATCAATTTGAACACCTCAAACATGTGGGGGATTGTTAAATCCATTGTTGATTTGTGCATGAAACTGAATGAGGGAAAATATGTTCTAGTTAAGGACCCATCCAAACCACAAGTAAGGATTTATGAGGTTCCTGCAGATGCATTTGAGAATGATTATGTGGAGGAGCCATTACCAGAGGAGGAACAAGTGCAGCCCCCAGCGGAAGAAGATGCTAACGGTGGTGAGGCTATTGCTTCTGCAAATGAAGTGGAAGAAAAGGAAGTTGACGCTGAGGCTTGAAGGTGATATACTTTTCCCCACAGTCCTCCTTGATGTTTGAACATACGGAATTGTTCTAGTGTTTTCAGGTTTTCTGTTTATCTGTTTTACTATTCTTGTATTTTCAGGCCCTTTAGATTTTCTAATTTACACAAGTGTGAATTTGTAAATATGGGCTCTTGGCACTTTTAGTATTTTTAGGAGAATATTGAACTCTTATAGGTCCAATATTTTGCAACTTAAGATGTTATTCACCCTATAAACAAAGTGTTTTGTTATGTGGCAATGCTATGTTATTTTCTTTTTTTTTTTATGAGTAATGCAATGCTATGTTATTTTCTAGTCTAAGGGTTAATATTTTTATAGTTATTTACCATCCACGGTCTATTATTATTGTAGTGACCATGCTTTACCATGTATTGTCACCCAATGATGTTATTTTACACTTAAACGAAGGATTTCATTGCTTATTCTGGTCAATGTAAACTTTGAAAACGTGAAGTTAGAAATGGAATATTTGAGCAGATCAGGACTTGGGATGTATAGTGATATCTTGAGGTCTTCCTACATTCAATGCTCCCCCCCCCCCCCTGGAGCTGCGTTGCCACCCCTAATTGGTAAGAGTGTCAGCCTTTAGTTGGATTATGGTTCCGTAAGGAACCTCAAACTAGATGGGATAAGTGGGATTTTAAAAAGTTGATGGTTGCATTGATTGGGTATTTATTGGGTAAAAAAGTGGGACCAGCTAATGGAAACTAATACATCTTCTGAAAGAAATTAGAGAATCTATCTCTTGGTTGAGCATCCAGGTTAGATGGATTCCAAGTAAATTGTGTACAGCATTACAACTTCAGATCTCTTTTGAAATTGATGGTAAAATTCCAAGAATGCATGTTGATGGTGCCAAAAAGTGCTACAGTTCCCTGGAAACTAGAACAACTTCTACATGAAATTAGAGAATCTATGTCTTGGTTGAACGCCCAGGTTAGATGGATTGCAAGGGAATTGAATACCAAAATAGTCATGCTTGGCATATCAAGGTTTAAGAGGGTTATTTTACATAATGGCATTACCTTGCCTGAACTGCAACGGTATCTATTGGATATTCCACTTTTCAGGAAACATGCCACCTTTATGGAAGTTCATTCATCTGAATAATGTAAGATTCCCTTTGCATCTTAAGAAGGGAAAATGTGCTGACAGTGGCATTAGGTGCAATCCCCTTTGAGGTCAAACTAGCAGATTATTCTGTTCTGTCTTGTATTCATATTTTCTAGCTGACCCCATATAGTTAGGATAAGAATTGGATGATGATGATGATGTCTTGTATTCATATTGTCATGACTGCAACAGACGTTGGAAAATCACTATGGTCATATATATCATGAGGGGAAATTGTTCAGATCTGGTTGTCATAACAAGTTAGGTTGTCACCACTAGGAAGAGAGAATTTACAAGAAACATTTAGAAAGCCAAGTTGGTATATCTTTCTGCATAGAAAATGGGGTTTGCATTTTTTTTATATAGATAAAAATGGGGTTTGCATCATAGTTGTCAAAGCGTCGCCTAGGGGACTAGGTGCCCTTGGCTGGGTGCCTCACCCAAACGCCTTTACTTTTAGCAACTAGGCACCCTTTTTGGTGACTAAGTGCCCACCTAGGTGACAAAAATGACAAGGGGCGCCTTTTATAATATCATTTGTATTGGCGTATCTTATTAATGTATGCATTAAAAGATTTTATTATATGCTATATATATTAATTATACTTGTTTTAATGTTTTACTACTGAAATTTAAAAGATCAAAGGGTTTTGAGGAGAGAAAAAGAAAGAAAGAAAAAAAAAAGAAAGAATAGAATTATAAAGTGGTTCTGTTTTTTTATACTCTCTCTCTCTAATTAAATAAAACAGAAAACCCATCCTTGTTTTTTCTATTTTACTTTCCATCTTGAATATTTATCATATAAAGTTAATAACCTTCTTTAGTTGCTAATTGATATGAAATTGCTCTATTAAATGCTTATTATAGTAGTATTATTTTTGAAAATAATGAAATTAATATATGTAAAAGATTTTTATCTTTTAGATTTGATGATTTGCCACATTTTTAGAGGAAAGAGAATTGCTATTTTTTCAATTAATATACATGCTGAATGGTATATAAAACTAGGGAACTATCCAAAACTTAGTTTTTTATATTATAAAATTTGTCTAGGTGCCGATTTCCTTTGATATAGTTTGTTGACCATGGGATATCATTTTGCCAAAATTTTCTGTGATAATGACATGTTTAGCGTTGGGCCTGTTTGTGCTCTAGTAGCTAGGTTGGGCTGGGTTGGGCATTGAGTGCGAAGAAAAACATGAAGGTCAGCGGGGGAAGCTTGGAAAGAGGGAGGGAAGATCAGTTCCTGCGAGCAAAAAGATGGAAGAAAATGTTGAAGGTGGAAGCAAAGACTTTCATCTTGGAAGAACTCTGGACTAGAAGTGGACTCTCTCTAAAGATTGTAGAATCGAGTAAAGCTTCTTTGATTCTCGAAGGAAGGGCGGTACCATGGTTCCAAGGAGTTCTCGATGGAGCTAAAATAACAGAAAAATCAAGGGAGTGGAGGTACTGTCTATTGGAACAAAACAGGAAGTATGTGGCTGAAAGAAAAGAGAACAAGTACGGGAGGTTTTTGGGAGTGCAGGAACACTTTGGTGAGGGGCTGAAGCAGTTTACCTGTTTCCCTGAAGGAAGGGAGGCCTCGGGATGGGACCAGTTAGCAGAAGCAATTCAGGAGTTTATGGTGGTAATTAATGACAGAGAAAGTGCCCTAAAAGATGGTGAAAAAATTAAGGAACAATCTGAAGGGCAGTCAAGGAAAGTTTTCAGGGAGATCCCAGGAGAGGAGATGGGGACGGAAAGTAAATTGCAGATTGATGCTGGACTAGGTTTGGTGAAATTGTGGGTGAACAAACCTAAAGAGGATTGGCAGCTTAAACTTGTCCTCTCGGTAAACAAGAAAGTAAAAGATTGGGAGAGACTAGGTGAAGAAGTCCAACAGATATTGAAGACTACAGAGGTGTTGCAGATTTCTCCCTTTGACAACCACAAGGCTGTAGTGTATTTTCAGGGGATTCTTTTGGATTTTGCTACTGCTTCGATTGTAACAGAGCAAGGTGTGGTGTTGTTGGAGAAATGGAAGCCTTTTTGCAATGTACAGTTGGTACAACCCACAGAACTTATCAATCTGAAAATTATTGGGTTGCCTTTCCATCTATGGAAGATGGAAGTATTCGGGAAAGTTGCGAAGCTATGTGGAGGCAAGATGGTTTCCTTTGATGCTTCCAACCTGAGTGCCGTGCAGATTAATGTAGCTGGAGCAAAGCCAGAGCTTATCCCAAGGTCTTTGGATTTAACTTAAGATAATGTAGAACTCAGGGTTTTGTAACTTCTACAGAAGCTAGATGGTGGAGATTGGGGAGGAGTGGGGAAGACGAAGATGATGTGACCTCCAAGGTTCGAGTTAACACTGGGAGGGAAACTGTAAAAGCAAGGGATAGGAAAGCAGTACCCCAGTCTTTCACTTTAATTGGCAAATCAGAGGATCGGACTAGGACTTTTGCTCAGGTAGTAATGTCCAAAGGTGGAGAAAGTCTGTCAGAAGACTTTTTGAATTTGAACAAGTGTCCAAAGGTGGGGACAGGTGGAGGTAGATTGGAACAACAACCAGGTGGATTGTCATTTGATATGGCCCAGGCCTGCAATCAGGGAACCAATACTAAACTTTTAAAAAGACTGGGTCAGGTTCAAAATTATAAAGATGGGCCAATGGTAGGAGGGGTACTGGTGGGCCCAGTCTTAAACTTAATGTGGATGGGCCTGGAAATAAGACTCCAACAGCAAGTAAGCCCATAGATAAATCAGGTGACCACTCAAATAGGCACGTGAGGTGGAACAAGGTTCAAAAGATTATGGACATTCGCTGTGGTATATATCTTCGTCCTCTTCAGATTGGTCTGCAACTAGCTCGGAAGAAAAACGTTTGTCTGGTCCGACTTTAGCGTGGTATTCAAGACTGGTCTCTTACTCCACTAGCCCGAATAAACCTAATCCGAGATATAATCGCATGAGGTTAGAAGAGGAGGATTCTGCTTCAGACTGGGTAAGTGTAGATGATGAGTCTCTGAAAGAGGAGTTGTATGCTGAAGAGTCCAGCTATGGTAGTATACAGAGTAAATGTCGTTCAAGGTTTGGGGAGGAAGATGACCCAGTATTAAAGTTACTCTTCGAAGAAGAGGCTTGTACACTTCCAGGAGAGTTGGTTCGGCCTAGAAAGGAGTTGGAAAGAAAGAAAACAGGCTCGGGTGAGGAGAAAACCGAAACAGGGAGAAAAGGGGATTCGGTCCTTTGTAAGGACCAGGGAATGGGTGCTTGTACTGTGTGTGTTGACAATCTGGTTCCTCCAAGCAGAGCTATAAACTGCTCGCTTCCCACTGCAGTCAATCCAGATCTTGATTCCGAGGGTCCTATTCCCAGCGAGAGTCAAACAAAAGGGGCTCAAGCTATTCCAACAACTCATATTGCGTCTTCTTCCTCCCAAGTTTTGGATTGTTTTCAGGTTCAGTTTTTGGTTACTAACTCTGTTTCCCCAAAGTCCTGTTTGTGTCTGGCCTACAAGTGATTCCAGCCCAGCTTTAAAGTCTTCCAATTCGTTTGATTCGGGACAAGTGATAGAGGTAGTGGGGGAGATAAATTCAGAAGCAAAAGAGAGAGAACTAGGGGACAAAATTTGGGAGTTGATCTTGGAACTATTTAGAACCAGAATGGAAGAGGTGCTGGATGTGAAAAGAGGTTAGGGTTGAGGAGGAGATTATTCAATTTCCCAATACAGTGGAGAAAAGTGGATACAGTGGAAAATCAAAAGGACAACCGAAAAAGAAGAAGAAGGGGTCAGGTAAGAAACTAGAAGGAATTGAGAAGGTGGAAGAGTCTAGTAAGAAGGTAGGAGAGCTTTCTAAGAAGAGGAAGAAAAAGTTGAGTG